TTACACACTCACACACAAATACTAATGATAGAAAGCCAGGGCTGATGTCTGACGTTTGTCCTGTGAACAACTCAACATGCATTGTACACTGTAAGTTTTAGCTTCAGTCACTTGTGACTTTACTGTGTGTACTGTAGACACCTGTGGTACTGGGGTCGTATTGTAAGTGAATTGATGTCTTTCCCACACACACTAAAAGAAAACTCACAGTGAAAAGGAGTGAGGATTTTAATTGAGTGATAATAGAAATTAATCACATAGAAACATAGAATGTTTAGAGGGAGAATGTGTCCTTTTAAATGCTTACATTAATAAAAATACAAGACTGTGGATATGTACTTATGCAGGAACTAAGTTTGTTCCCACTCTTATTTCTTTGGCCCAAGCAGACAGAATGCAAACAGTGAGCACTGAGCACATATCCCTAATGAGGACCTCTGAGGAATCAGCCCTTGGGATGCCCCAGTGTGACAACAAATCTCTCACCCTCTTGGAAGCCCTGATCTCCAGGGACAGAACCTGCATCTCTTTGTTTTCTCGCCAACACCTAGGCTTCACCAAAGACAGCCAGGCATCTCACTCCAGATGTCCTTGTGAGGAGAACGCCCTCAGTTCTCACCCTACATTGTGAATTTCCCCTCATCCAAGTCCAGGATGGGAGCAGTAGAGACCTGGATTCTATGAGAGCCTTGGAGAGCAGCAGGTGAGATGGCTGGGGACACAGGCTAGGGACCAGTCCATCCAACAGCACTGACGCCCAGAGACACCTCCATAAGGAATGACATGGGGAGGGGGCACCCTCAAACCTTTCTGAAGCTAGCCAAGTTCAGAGGGAAATGTTGCTTGTCCTACAAGTGGATAAGGAGGATCCATCTAGAGTTAGTGATGCGGTGAGAACAGGCTCCTATCAGTCTTTACTGGAAAGAGATTCCCCTCTCAGACATGCAAGGTTGTCCTATTCCATGCCGAATTTCCTGTTTATGACAGTTTCTTCTCTGTGTTCATTGACTGTGACCCGTGAGTCTATAACAAAGGGGTCTGATACTTAAGTTACTTTGGATGCTATTCTGAGCCCCATATAGGGAACTGGGTTAGTCTAGGACCTATTCAGTTTTAATTGTACGGTCCATGGATCCAAGCTCAGGGACACAGCTACATCAGATATTTCAGACACAGTCCTTAGCAAGGTTCACAAGAGTCAAACATGGCACCAGCAGACACAGAACTTTATTGAAGAAATCTGGTAGCAGCCAAGAGCACCCAGGTAAAGTGGCTGAGGGAACAGCAGAGGGCGTCCCCACCACAGGCAGACTCCCATGGACTTGAGCACATGGGTTGACAGAGAAAGAACTTCATTCAGTCCCTCTGCCTCTGACCAAGTTCAAAGGAGGAAAAGCATCTCACTCCTACATGTCCATGCCTTGTCCTCCATGAGGTGCTCAGCACTAAGACACAGTGGAAGCCGCAAAGTGGGCAGAGCAAGCAGAAGGACATAATGGAGGTTAGTGGGTTAGGAGC